TGAGAGACACAAAAAGCACAACCTGTAACAAAAGAGTATTTCAACAATATCCACAGGTAACAAAACAACTATAGAACTAGAATTAAGACAAGCTAATCTATGTGATCTCTTGGGAACTTTGAGGTAGAGAGGAGGATGAATGACAAATGTGATTCATGCTAAAGAAGAACGAAAGTGGACAAAGCTCAGGTGGCTAGAATTATGGATAGTGACAAGGGAAAGAACTTGAAAGATTTAGGGGGAAAAGGTTTGTATTAAAGTGATTGAGTGAGGTTAGCATTCATTGAGGGTAAAGTTTGGGCAAGAGAAAAAAAACAAGAGGAAAAAATTCTTTCTCTTTTTTTTTAATTTTTAACTTTTTTTTGAAATTTTTTCCAAAGTCATGACTTTCAGATTAGGCTTAAATTCAAAGTCGCGACTTTCATCTTCTCTGGACGCTTATCAGAACTTTTGACAGCAAAAATTCTGCAGCAATCTGTTTTCAAAAATCTGATTTGTTCACCCCTTAAAACCTCTTCCAAACACTCAAATCACTCCAAAATCAATTCTAACCATCATTCATCAACCATACACAATTTCCTTCAATTTAAATGCAATCAACCCCCTAAAAAGAACCATTTTTCATGGGAATCAAACCACAAAAAATTGCATTTACTTCAATAAGCTCAAAATAATTACCAAGACAAGTTTATAAGCATAAAAACAACTTAAATAGCTTGACTTCCCTGAAATTTTCCTTCCTTTTGTGCTCTTTTGTTCTTTGGGCACATTTCTTGCTTCTCCAAAGGCTTATACTTCCTCATATCTTCTTGTTAACCTACAAAAGAGACAAGATCACACATAACTTCACCAAAACAACTAATCTACAAAAGAAAAATCAAAAGATAAGGTTTAGAGCTTGGGTTGCCTCCCAAGTAGCGCTTGTTTTATAGTCATTCAGCCTGACTCTTCTCTCCTTCAAGAGGCATCAGATAAGGGCAAGGTAATTGCTTCACGGTCTACCTCACCACCCCAGTAATGCTTCACTCATTGTCCATTGACTTTAAATCTTTCTCCTTCATTGCTCTCTAGCTCAATAGCACCATGAGGAATGCTTGGACCACATTGAACGGTCCGACCATCTAGACTTGAGTTTGCCAGGAAATAATCTCAATCTAGAGTTATACAAGAGTACTTTTTGGCCTGGCTCAAATGCTTTGCATAAAATTTTCTTGTCATGCCATCTTTTTGTCTTCTCCTTGTATTGCCTAGCATTCTCATAGGCATTTAACCAAAATTCATCAAGTTCATTTAGTTGGAGAAGTCTCTTTTCACCCACAGCTTTAAAATCAAAGTTGAGCTTTTGGATAGCCCAATAAGCACCATGTTCTAGCTCTACAGGTAGATGACATGCTTTCCCAAAAACTAACCGGTATGGAGACATGCCGATAGGAGTTTTGTAAGCCGTTCGATAAGCCCACAATGCATCGTCAAGTTTGGTGGACCAATCTTTTCTTGCCACTCCTACCGTCTTCTCAAGTATCTTCTTGATTTCCCGATTAGAGATCTCAGCTTGCCCGTTAGTTTGAGGATGGTAAGCAAGTGCAACCTTGTGCTTGACACCATATTTCTTCAAGAGAGATTGAAATTGGTTGTTGCAAAAATGAGTACCACCATCACTCACAATGGCTCTTGGTGCTCCAAAGCGGGTGAAAATATGCTTCTTCAAGAACTTGAGCACCACTTTAGCATCATTAGTGGGAAATGCCGCCGCTTCGACCCATTTTGAGACATAGTCTACAGCCACAAGGATATATTGATTGTTGAAAGACATGGGAAATGGTCCCATGAAGTCTATGCCCCACACGTCAAACAATTCTACTTCAAGCATGTTGTTGAGTGGCATTTCATTCCTTCTAGAGATATTACCCATCCTTTGGCACCTATCACACTTTAAAACAAAGTCATATGCATCCTTGAATAAAGAGGGCCAATAGAAACCACTTTGCAAGATTTTAGATGCTGTCTTGTCACCCCCGAAGTGGCCTCCATAGTCAGAAGAATGGCAACATCTTAGAATTTCTTGTTGCTCACACTCAGGAACACACTTTCTGATCATTTGATCAGCACATTGGCGAAACAGATAGGGTTCTTCCCAAAAATACAACTTAGCATCATGGAGAAACTTCTTCTTTTGATGAAACTTCAAATCAAAGGGCAAGATGCCACAAACAAGATAGTTGACAATGTTCGCATACCACGGTGTTTGAATATTGTCAACCTTAAAGAGTTGCTCATCAGGAAAAGCTTCATCAATAACAACATTACATTTAAGTTGAGCATCAGTACTCAACCTAGAAAGATGGTCCGCCACTTGATTCTCAGTACCCTTCCTATCAATAATCTCCAAGTCAAATTCTTGTAGAAGTAGTACCCATCGAATTAACCTTGCTTTAGACTCCTTCTTGCTGAATAGGTACTTCAAAGCTGAATGGTCAGTGTAAACTGTCACCTTAGTACCCACAAGATACGATCTAAACTTGGTAAAAGCAAACACCACTGCAAGAAGCTCTTTCTCAGTGTGGTGTAGTTTTCTTGAGCATCATCAAGTGTTCTGCTAGCATAGTAAATTGGGTGAAGCACTTTTTCTTTCTTTTGGCCAAGCATAGCACCCACAGCAAAGTCACTAGCATCACACATCACAATGAAAGGCAAACTCCAATCAGGAGCCATCATGATAGGCGCAGACACAAGTCTTTTCTTCAACTCTTCAAATGCTTTCAAGCATGAATCATCAAATTTAAATTCAGCATCTTTCTCAAGAAGAGTGCAAAGAGGCTTGACTATTTTGGAGAAGTCTTTAATGAAGCGGCGATAAAATCCCGCATGACCAAGAAAACTCCTCACACCCTTAACATTAGTAGGTGGAGGAAGTTGCTCAATCACCGAAATTTTGGCTCTATCTACCTCCAAGCCATTTTTGGAGACTCTATGGCCAAGAACTATGCCCTCCTTAACCATGAAGTGGCATTTTTCCCAATTCAAGACCAAGTTGGTCTCTTCACATCTTTTCAACACATTGGCCAAGTTGATCAAACATTCCTCATATGAATCCCCAAAAACCGTGAAGTCATCCATGAAGACTTCCATAGTTTGCTCAATCATATCAGAGAAAATTGCCATCATACACCTTTGAAAAGTGGCCGGTGCATTGCATAACCCAAAAGGCATGCGCTTGAAAGCAAAAGTTCCATAAGGACAAGTAAATGTCATTTTTTCTTGATCCTCTGGAGCTATGGCAATTTGGTTATAGCCTGAATACCCATCAAGGAAGCAAAAGAATTCCCTTCCAGCTAATTTGTCAAGCATTTGGTCGATAAAGGGAAGAGGAAAGTGATCTTTCCTAGTAGCCGCATTTAGCTTCCGGTAATCCATGCATACTCTCCACCCAGTGACAGTGCGAGTAGGAATTAGCTCATTGTGGGTGTTAGCCACTACAGTCATGCCTCCCTTTTTTGGAACGCATTGAACTGGACTCACCCAAGAGCTGTCAGAAATAGGATAGACAATGCCCGCCTCAAGCCATTTTAAGATCTCCTTTTTCACAACTTCCTTCATAATAGGATTCAACCTTCTTTGATGTTCCACAGAAGTTTTATGATTGTCTTCAAGGAAAATCTTATGCATGCAAATTGAAGGGCTAATACCCTTTATGTCGGCAATAGTCCACCCAATAGCTCTCTTGTGAGCTTTCAAGACTTCCACAAGTTGCTCTTCTTGTTGTTCATTCAAGTCCGCAGCAATAATCACTGGCAAAGTGTTGTTGGCTTCTAAATAGACATACCGAAGATGAGAAGGTAATGTCTTCAACTCAAGAGATGGTGGCTCTTCAATAGAGGATTTCAAAGATGGTCTACCAAGAGAAGATAAATCTAGAGATTCAAATTGGACACGTTTCTAGGATAAACCGGTGATGCATTCATGATAGCCATACACTCTTCTCCATCTTGAGTCTTTAATTGAGCTCCTAGTAACAAGGCTTCTAAAAAATCATTAGGAATTGCCTCATTGAATTCTTCTTGTGCAACTTGATCAAGCATATCAACAAAGAAGCATTGCTCAAGATCATTGGGAGATTTCATCAACTTGTGCATGTTAAAAGTGACTTGCTCATCATCCACCCTCATAGTAAGCTCACCTTTTTCAACATCAATCAAGGTTCTAGCGGTTGCCAAGAATGGTCTTCCTAAGATAATAGGAATATCACGATCCACCTCACAATCAAGGACAATGAAATCAACCGAAAAATGAATTTATCCACTTTTACAAGAACATCTTCAATAACACCACGTGGATAAGCCAAGCTTCTATCCGCTAATTGCAAAGTCACGGTTGTTGGTCTAGCTTCACCCAACTCCAATTTATTGAAAATAGAGAGAGGCATAAGATTGATACTAGCTCCAAGATCACATAATGCCTTACCCAAAAATTTATTCCCAATATGACACGGAATTGAGAAGCTACCGGGATCCTTCAACTTTTGAGGTAGTTGCTTAATGATATCCGTACAACTCTTGGTTAGAGCAACCGTCTCAAACTCATTGAACCTTCTCTTTTTAGAGAGCACATCTTTCATGAATTTAGCATATTTGGGCATTTGCTCCAAAGCTTCCACAAAAGGAATGTTGATATGCAATTGCTTGAACATATCAAGAAACTTTTTGAATTGGCCATCTTCTTGTTGCTTCCTAAGCCTTTGAGGAAAAGGTGGTGGAGGCATATATTTTGGCTTGGCCTCTAGTTGCTTTTTCTCATCACCAACCTTTTTGGCTTGATCTTCAATCTTTTTCTCTTCTTGATTCATTCTTCGAGTTGTCACACTCTTCAACCACAATTTCTTCATTAATCACTTCATTATCAACAATCACCTTAGTAGCACCACTACTCACACCACTTGCACTTGGCATAAGAACTTCGGGTAATTGCATCCCACTTCTCAAAGTGATTGCTTTACACTCCTCCTTACCATCCCTTTTAGGATTTGGAATGGTGTCACTAGGGAGATTACTTCTTGACATAGCATTCATTTGTGAAGCCAATTGCCCCATTTGCACTTCGAGGTTCTTGATTGCGGTATCATGAAGAGTAAGAGTTGCCTTAGTTTCAACTCTTGCAGACTCTTGATTACTCAAGATTTGTGCTAGCATCTTTTCCATTCTAGACTCCTCTTCTTTAACCGGCATTGGCTTTGGTGGAGCTTGAAAACCCGGAGGGTGAAGTGGCTTGACATTAGAGGATGAAGGTTGATTTGAAGAATTCCCTTGACTCCATGAAAAATTAGGATGATTCCTCCATCCTGAGTTGTATGTTTGAGAGTAAGGGTTGTTGTGAGGGTTTTGAAACTTGCCCATATAGTTGACAGACTCAGTGGTCATATAAAGAGGACATTGATCGGGCATGTGCATATCATTGCATTGATTGCACACAGTTGGAATGGCTTGGACAGCATGCACATTATGAGAATTTCCCCTTTGCATTTGAGATTCCAACACATCAAAACGCTTGTTCATTGCATTCAAGATGGATACAATCTGGGAAGAGGAATCATCTTTAGCACTAGTCACCATTGATGTATTCCTTCTATCCGTGTTTTGAGTGTTGTTCGCAGACAATTGGTCTAAGAGGCGAAAAACTTCATTGACAGGCACATTCCGATATCCCCCATTTGTGATAGAATCAACCATGGCCTTCGAAGATGGATTCAGACGATTACAGAAAATCTGAATCACTACCCATTTGTCCACTCCATGATTAGGGCATTTCTTCATCAACATCTTGTATCTCTCCCAAGCTGCATAGAGATGTTCCTCTGGATATTGCTTAAAGCTAAGAAATTCATCTCTTGCTTCCACTGTTTTATCATCAGAGAAGAATCGGGCTCTAAACTTGTTCTCAAGATCCTCCCATGAACCAATAGAACCTTCGGGAAGATTGTTGAACCATTCTTTAGCCTTGTCTTGTAGAGAAATTGGAAATAACCGCAAGCGCAAGACATCTTTAGGCACCCCATTTTGTCTGAAAGAATCACATACTTCCACAAAAGACATCAAGTGCTTGTTAGCATCTTCATTGAATAGACCATGAAACACACCATTCATTTGAAGCATTGTGATCATGGCAGGCTTGATCTCAAAAGTATGTGCTTGAAACTCCGGCATTCGAATACAAGATTGAGTACCCCTCAGATTCCGGTTAGCAAAGTCATTGACTGAGGCGGTGTCATACTGGTCTTCTGCCATGTTTCCCGATTCAGGAGTTCTTTCAGAATTAGGAGACTCGGTTTCTTCAAAGATTGTCAATCCTTCAAGTATCACTTCCAATCCTTCTGGGCCTATGACTTGCATATGCCAAATGGGTACCTGAAGAAGAAACAACCCAAGAAGTATCAAACTAAAACAAAGCACTGAACAAAGACAAAATAAAAATCTAGAACTAATATCTACAAAGCTCAAGCGAAATCTAATATTACTAGTCTAAGGTTGATCAAAATATTTTCAAAAGCAAATCCCCGGCAACGGCGCCAAAAACTTGTTGCTCACCGCAAGTGCACGGGTCGTAGCAAGTAATATATAATGAAAGTAAAGTATCGTTCCCTCGAGGATTTGTTCAAAAACAATGATCAAGCAAAAGACTAAGTAAATTTGATCAAGTTGAGCTACAAAAGTTAGGTGAAATGTTTTGCAAATGAAACTAACACGAGAAAATTAAGAAAGTGAGTGATTCACAAACTTCCAACACAAATTGAGACCTAGGATTAATTGTCCCCCTTGCATTTCATAACACCAAAATTACCTCCTCTCATAAATGCTTTTAATGAAAATAAGTGCTAACCTAGGGTTCTAAAAATACTTGGACAAGCTCTCTCAAGTCATGAACAAGTGTTTAGTTAAATTAATTGCCCAATCTCTTGTTACAATTAATAAAACTCAATTTTAAACACCAACCCTAATGTGGCTATGCAAGGCTAGCAAGTATATCTCTATCTTACTAGCAAAACCATCCATTCAACATGCAAATATCAAGTTCTTACACAATTTTACCCAAGTTCTACACTCAACCTAGCCCTCTCAAGCATCAATTAAGTGAACCCAACATCTAAATGGTGGCCAATCAAGTAGAAGCATTAAGGAAAGAGTAAAATAAACACATATATATCATTAATCACAAAAAGAGAGAGAAAATGGTGTTAATCCATACAAGGGTTCCAAATAATCCTAGAACAAAGGGTTTAGCTACTCATAATCATCCACAAGCTACAAATATACAAAATAAGTGGACCCATTTCAGATTACAAGAGAGGAAAGGGAAGAGGAATAGAAAAACCAAAGAAAATGAGCTCCAAATGTCTTCAAAGCTTCAATCTCTTGATCCCAACTCTTCCAATGCCCAAACCCTAGCACAACCAAGCTCCAAAAGTGTCTAAAAGTCTGAAGAATGCGTTCTGGGTCGAGCTCTCAGCTTATATGTATCCTAGCCAACAATTTCTGATAAATGAAACGCAGCGTTTTTCTGACAGCGGCGAAAGTCGCGAACGAAAGTCACGACTTTGGGACGACTTTGGCAGTTTTACACTGTTTTTACAGCTAACGAAAATCATTCATTTTGCTCTTGATTTCTTCATCCAAAAGCCTTCCAAAACATCCACAAAGCTCCAAAATGCTTCTAATCAAAACTTCAATCAAAATAACATGAAATTAGGCTAAAAAATATCAAATTAAAGCCAAGAACACAAGCCCAAAACAAAATGCACATTTTCCTAAATTGGGCAATAAAAACATATACAATTAAACCAAAATGGACTAGAATCTAAGGAAAATGTGATGAAATAACATGAACTTATAGGTTGTTAACAATACTTTGGATAAAAAAAAGTAATAACTATAATCCATGTGAAGTATGTTGTTCTTGTAAGTAATTTTGGAAAAATTGGTCAAAAGGACCAAAATGTATTGGAATTCAGAAAATATCCATGAATCTTTAATAATTTATCTTTAAAAGAACATGGATTGTGACATTACTAAAAAATAAAGCCCAAATTAATTCAAAATTTCACCGTAGGAATTTAAACATCAACTGAATAAAATGTAAGGCAAAATGACTTAAAATAAACTTTTAACATGTAAGGTAAATTATTTTAACAAGTAACTATAGGAAATTAATAAGTAGCATTACCCATTTAACAAATATAGTTAATTGAGTTAATAGTATCAAGTAATGTTAGTAAATTACATGTAAAGTATATATACTAACAAGTAACTATATGCCTTTAACAAGTACGTAATTGAGTTACAAGTTATCACGTAATGTTAGATAATTTAACATGTAAACACTACTACAAAAATCTATATATATTATACTAAAAAAATGATTAAAATAAAATATGTCATATATTTGAGAGGTTAGGAGATGCTTATAAAACAAACGATGGGTGTTTAAAACTCCCATCATTTATTTAATTGAGAACATACGAAGGTATTAACAAGCCCATCATATAATACTCAAATTAGGCACATTCATAAAAATAAAAATTAATATTAACATAGATAACAAGTGTTTAAAGCACCTATCATATAACATACCTTTTAGTTTCTTGCTTTTAAAAATATTAAAAAAATTATATTATGCATAATTACTATATATTAAAATATTAACAAATTTATATTATGCATCATTGATATATATGACGTGTGTTTCAAAAATTTGTCTTATATTTCACTATATAGCGACCTTATATTACAATTATCTCAAAAATTGTTATATAAATGAATGAGTAAAAAATTTAAGACTTGAGGTACACTAAACTATACAATCTCATTCTTTCCTACATTTAACCTTGTTCATTAGCTTTTTGAAAGTTGTAGGAAAGAATGAGCAATTTCCGTGGCCCAGGTCTTCACATTATTCAAATTAAAGTGGAGATGTCAACACCTGGAGGGACTACTATTTAAATTATGCAAAAGACATATTCCTTTAATCCTTATATGTAAAATATTTTTAATCAAATACATGAACTAATAAATGTTGATTATCTATTTAAGAGTATAGTAACATTTTAATTTTATCCCTGATAAATGGCAATTTTATATATTTTATCCTTTTATTTAGATTTTTAAATATTTATTTGAAGCTAATTGAGTTTAATTAGATATTATTTAATTTTATTAGCCAATATTCAGTTTTGAGATTTTAACTAACTAAATCTTTGATTTTAAAATATAAATAATATTTTTAATATTTTTACACAGGTGATATTTAATTTTATTTTATTTGTGCAGATTTTCTAAATTCAATTTGAAAGATATTGATAGAGAATATATTGGAAGAAGAATATGGACATACTTGAAAATCAAATTAAGAATCAATTTTTTAAAATTTTTTTGAATTTATTTTGAGTTATTTAGTGTAATTTTTAATTAGGATTAGTTTTATTTTTTAATAAATTATTAGTTTTTATTATAAAAGAAAGGAGAGAGACGCAGAAGGGGGGGACGCACGACTTTTATGGAAAAAGAAAGGGAGAAAAACGTTGGCGGCATCAGTGGGAAGGAAGGAACCACAGATGCGATTGCTGTTCTTCTTTTCTTCAATACAGATGGCCTCTCCTATTTCCATCTCATATTGCTTGATTTTTAGTTCTAAGAATAGCTAATTTTTTGGTGTGATCAATAATAATATAATCCTAAATTTTAATTAGAGTCCTTGATATTTAGGGAAGATTTTATTCTAACTTTATTTCAATTTACTCTTCTTCTCTCTACCTCTAAATTTTATGCTTTAATTGCTGTTGCTGATTAGAGTAGCTTTACTGCATAATTTTTGGGTTATAAATTTTATCTGAGGTTTTAATTGCTAATCGGATATAGCAACTTAAGAGTAATTTGGCCTAGCTTAAGTGATTACTCATGCTTGTTTTTGGTGTGGGTTAAGGGAGATTTCAATTAATCTATAACTTAACTTCTTGTTTAATTCTTGAATGATAATTTGAGAAATATATAATGAAACCAGAATAATAAAGTTGAATAAAATTAATTTATTTTATGGACGAGGAAGATTAAATTTAGGTGATTGGGTTGTGATTGATTGCGCTGCTTATTCTTTGGTAATTTTCTTAGTTGAATTTCCTCTATTTATTTATTTCTAATTTAGTTTTAATTTCATCATAAAACCCCCCCATTATTTACATTTCATAATCATAATTCAAATAATTACTCTATTGACTCTTAGGGAGACGACCTAGGTTGCGCTTTACTGCAAAATCTAGTTTTTATTAATTTTGGTACTATTCGACAGTAGTGTCAAAATTTGGCGCCGTTGCCGGGGAGTCAAAGATGTTATTTTTTGAATTTGGTTGTTAATTTTTTTTTTTTTTTCGTTTTTTTCCTCATTTTTTTGAAATTTCTAGAGTTTTTTTTTTGTGCTCTTTCAATTTTTTTTTCAAATTTTAAGTTATTTTTCATTTTTTCCAGATTTAATTTTTTGATTTTTTTTCCTTACTTTTTTCTAGGGAGTTTCTTTTATTTTATTTTATTTATTTTAGTGAGGACAGGGTCCACCTAAAAAAAATCATTATTTTGATCATATACTTGAGAGGACTTTGTATTTCCTTTTATTTTCCTTTAGTTTGAGTGATTCTATTTTGGTTGAAGAGATGGCTTGGAATGGTTATCACCTAATACTGATTTTTCTCCTTCCATGCTTTATCATGATACTCATAGTTTTGAAAGGAAAATTATGAAAATATTATGCATTGTATATCTAATAGCTTACATAATTGTGCTGCCTGTGTTGAAATAGATGAACTTATAAACTCTGATGATTTGTTGGATCCTCTTGTTTGCATTAACTCTATTGAGTGTGATGATCCACTTGACTATATTGATTATACCAAGGCTACTAGTTCATCTACTTGTGTTAAGCCTTTTGATTATGATAATGCTTATGAGATCGTGCGTTTAGTGGTCACCTAAATAACATTGATTTTGTGATCCCTATGAGCTTTTGTGATGGTATTGATAATACTAAGAGTAATGGGATTATTAATTATATTATGCATTCTGACTCTAATAGTGCTTGTGTGGAAGATTTTGTTATTTCTGTTGAGCTTCATGAGCAGGTACTTATGATTAAAAAAACTCCTTTTACTATATTAAGGCCATCTTCAATGGAAATATTATCATGCAACCTTCAACCAGATAAAGGAAAAGTCCTTATGGCTCTTTTTGCAAAAGCTTTGACTCTACTGATGAGAGTCTACTTGATTTTATTAGTTGTTTCATATATAGAGAGGGCTTGGCTATCATCATTTTTTATACGTTTTGGATCCACTGCCAATTGATCTAAAGCCACCGCCTAGAGGAGCTTTTGATGAGCTTAGAGAGAAAAATGTTTTGAACAAGTATCTATTCTCCATCCGAGATGAGAATTTCAACTTTAAGAGCTTACGGAGATTTAAATTATCTGGTTGTCTTTTCTTCTTTCACTTTTACCTTGCATTTTATATTTTATTACGGTTGATTGGATTATTTTAAATTGAATTGCATTGAGGACAATGCAAGATTTAAGTGTGCGGGAAGGGACTTGTCTTTATTTTAAAATTTTTTTAAATTAGGTTGTTTGCATTTTTTTTTATACTTTTATTTTTTTCTTTTTTTTTGCAAGTTTAAGGTAATTTCAGTTTGAATGCATTTAAGCATGATAAATGATTGATCTTATGTTTGGAGTTCAAGTTAAGTGGCTATGAATTTGGTTTCAATGGATTAATGTGATAGTCTTTAGCTTGTGAGGATTTGGACCTAATATTATTCTCTTCTTGTGTGCATTCTCCTATCACTACTCTCACTCTAGAACTTGTCTTGATTATTAGTTGAGACTATAATTACATATGCTTTGCATGAAGATGATTTAGGCATTCTTTTCTTTTAGCCTATTTAGCCAAATAACATCCCATGCAATTTATTCCTTATTAACCCCTTTGAGCCTAGACTTTTTCTTTAAAATATTAGCCAACTGAAAAATATAACCTATAAAAATCCTTTTCCTTCATTTCTCACCCCACCTTTTGGTAATGAAAAGTGTATCATAATATTTGTTGGAATAAAAGAAAATCCTTGAAGAGAGATTTGGGTTATTTTGAAAAAAAAGAGAGAGGGAGCCAAAAGGCAAAGAAAAAAAAAGGAAGGAAGAAAAAAAAAAGGAAAGAAAGAGCATAAAAGGCAAAAAGGAAAAAAATAAAAAAAAAAAAAAGGTGCATGAAGCAAAGGAAATGAAAACAAAACAAAGAGAGAAAAATAAATCCAAATCAATTTATTTTGTTTCTTTCATTCTATATATTTCGTTTCAAATATGCTTTTCATTATCCTAAAGTTTATTAGCCTTTATTTTCCTATTTCTATACCATACCTTTACCTAAGCCCCATTACAACCTAAAATCAAAAAAGTTCTGTTGATTTTTGCATTGCATATGACATAGATAGTGGAAACCTAGATGATAAATAAGCCTATGGTAGTGAGGTTTTGATAGGGAAACTTGAGTAAAACACTTACCTATATACATTTGAGAGTTGAGAGTTAAACACTTGACTTTGTGAAGGACTATTGCTTAATTTTATTCTTATCAAATGAAATTACCATGATACTTGTTATTCCATATATAAGAAATATGATTAGAGTGTAAAATGTTGAAGAGCTATAATTGTTTCTTATTCTTTGTTGCTTCCACATTTCTTTTCTTGAATTTTGAGATTTAAGTTTTGCCCAAGAGTGCAAAAGTCTAAGTGTGGGGGAATTGATAAATGGCAATTATATATTTTTATCCTTTTAATTTAGACTTTTAAATATTTATTTGAAGCTAATTGAGTTATTAGATTTATTTAATTTTATTAGCCAATATTCAGTTTTGGAATTTTAACTAACTAAATCTTTGATTTTAAAATATAAATAATATCTTTAATATTTTTACACAGGTGATATTTAATTTTATTTTATTGTGCAGATTTCTAAATTCAATTTGAAAGATATTGATAGAAAATATATTGGATAAGAAGAATATGGACATACTTGGAAATCAAATTAAGAATCAATTTTTTAAAATTTTGTTTGAATTTATTTTGAGTTATTTAGTGTAATTTTAATTAGGATTAGTTTTTATTTTTTAAAAATTATTAGTTTTTATTATAAAAGAAAGGAAGAGAGACGAAGAAGAGGGGGGGACGCACGACTTTTATGGAAAAAGAAAGGGACAAAAACGTTGGCGGCGTCAGTGGGAAGGAACCACAGATGCAATTGCTGTTTCTTCTTTTTTCAATACAGATGGCCTCTCCTATTTCCATCTCATCTATTGCTTGATTTTTAGTTCTAAAAATAGCTAATTTTTTTGGTGTGATCAATCATAAATTTTGATTCTAAATTTTAATTAGAGTCCTTGATATTTAGGGAAGATTTTATTCTAA